CGGTGGCTGTCAGGCCCGTCGGTGACGTCTCCTGGTCACGCTCGGTCTTAGGATGTCAGTCGGCGCTTTTTTCTTTTTCTCTTTTTAAATCCTTTCAGCTGGACATCCCTGGAGCATCCTTCCGGTTGGGGGGACCCCTGACAGGGCACTGGGCCTGGTCCCTGCTCCCTGGTGAGCCCTGGTGGCCAGGGCAGCTTCGGGGCCCTCGGGGCTGGTACCGCATGCCTGCATGTCCCTCGCCACCAAGGCCCAGGTGAGCAACCCGCCCCGCGCCCCTGCTTCTGCCTGTGCACAGCCCTGGACTGGACCCGTAAGAATAAGCCACACTCACTCCCTCCTGACACCTGACTGGGGAGGGGACGCCCAGCTCAACCTAGAAACCTAACCAGCTGGTTTTCCGACGACTCGGCTTTTAGTGACCAGAGAGAGTTGGTAGAGAGAAACCGTGCTGTGCTGTTTCAATGTTAAAAAAAAAAAAGAGAGAGAGACATAGTGGACCTTGTCCGTGACCCTTTCCCCTGTCTGATTTCCGCCACCCACCCCGCCTCGTCTGGGCAAGGCCGGGCCCCAGGCCAGGCAGGCGGATTCCCGGAGACATGGGGGAGTTCAGCGAGCCTGCTCCATGCGGCAAATCCCAAAGGACGGGCGGGTTCCATTAGAACGAGCAGCCCGGCGTACTCTCCAGAGCCAAGCGAATCCATCATTTAAAAAGAACGCGTTAGCCCTGGCTGGTGTGGCCCTGTGGACAGAGCGCCGGCCTGCGGACTGAAGGGTCCTGAGTTCGATTCCGGTTAAGGGCACATGCCCGGGTTGCGGGCTCGATCCCCAGTAGGGGGTGTGCAGGAGGCAGCTGATCTCTGATTCTCTCTCACCATTGATGTTTCCATCTCTCTCTCTCCCTCTCCCTTCCTCTCTAAAATCAATCTATACTAATAAAAGTGTAATATGCTAATTAGACCGGATGTCCTTCTGGACGAAGCCGGGGCTGCAAGGGACATCTGGGTCCCAGGTGCCGGAGGGAAGCCGGTGCCTGCAGCTGGGGGAAGGAAGGCCTACTCTTGCACGAATTTCGTGCATCGGGCCTCTAGTAAATATATATATATTTTAAAAAAGAATGCATTAGAAAGCTGGCCGAACGGGTGGGCTCCCTGGAGATGTGCTTTGAAAGCCAAGGAAACTTTCATTTTAAACTTACACCGTGACAGAAGTCACTGCTTAGATCAGTGGTCGCCAACCGGTGGTCCGCAGGCCACTGGTGGTCTATGAGGTCCGAAAGGTTGGCGACCGCTGGCTTAGATGCTCTAGCTGACAGTAGTCACTTTGCTTCTTCCCATAGTTCTTATTTTTTAATAATATCAGAGGGAGACACAAGAAAATATTGCCCATTGTACTGTCTCATCCAGTAACTGCTCAGAGCTCAAAGGCTTTAAGCCCTCCTTCCCCACACCCCCGGCCACACCCCCGCTTTCAGGGTCTCTAATTTGCTTCTAACCCCCAAGATGGATCCATCATGAGCAAAGATTGGATTTTTCTGAGCAAAAGAAATTGCATACATGTCTCCAGCCATTTATTTCACGCCTTGCTGGGTGACGCACATAGATTGCTTTGCACTGAGGATGGCGGCTTGCACATGCTGTGTGTGTGTGTGTGTGTGTGTGTGTGCACCTGCTCAGAACGGACACCTTGTTTACAATAAAATTGATAAATAAGAGCATCCCCAAATCACACTGTCCTCAGAGTTCATCCATTTTACATGGGACAAACAACACACAGCATTTCTCTCTCTCTCTCTCTCTCTCTCTCTCTCTCTCTCTCTAACGACCTTTAGAAACAAGTAGAATGTTTTGATGTATAAAGAAAATGCTTCAGCCCTGGCCAGTGTTGCTCAGTGGTTAGTTAGAGCACCAGTCCTCGGACTGAAGGATCTGGGATTTGATTCCAGGTCAAGGGCACATACCTCAGTGGCAGGCTCGATTCCCCAGCCCCGGTCAGGGTGTAAACACCTCTCTCACATTGATGTTTCTCTCTCTCTCTTCTCTTCCCCTCCCTTCCCTCCATTCTCTCTAAAACAAAACAAAACAAAACAAAACAAAAATCAATGGAAAACATATCCTAGGGTGAGGATTAAAAAAAAAAAAAAAGAGAGAGAGAGAGAGAGAACCCTTCATTTCTTCTTGCTCTCTGAAAACTGATCCCTACTACAAATCTGCTTTTGAAAACAGCCTTTGTGGCTTTGTATTTTGTAGAGAAAAACATAGACAAGCGAACAAAATAGCTCGTATTTGACCAAAAACGACTCTGCCATTTAAGAACGCGATAAGGAGGAGAAAGACATGTGGTTAGAAAAGTGAATGCCTGAAAACAGTAGCCGTTGTCTTAATGAATTCGCCTGTGCACTGGGGACTCTTCCTGTCTTATGTCTCGAAGTGTTTTTATTTGTTTATCTGCCTTTGATGTTATTGACTGATTGGCATATAGAAAGTGTGAAGTTTTATGTTGTCAATGGATCATATTTTCCTTTGTAGATCCTGGAGTTTGGTTCTAGTTTTAAAAGACCCTCCCCATTCTGAGATTATAAATAAACTTACTCTTATTTTCTTCTAAATCTTCATGGTTCCATTTGTTTACATCTTCTAACTCCCTGGAATTCATTTGTTGCAGGTAATGGAGGTAAAGATGCAATTTTTTTTTTCTCCGAATGGTTGGTCACTTGTGTAATAAAATAGATAACCATACATTTTGGCAATACAATTATAATCCTTTCCCCACTTGTTCAAAATGCCACCTTTTTGTAAACTACATGCCTTTAAATGTTTGGGTCTATTTCTGTTTTATTATCTCTCCATGAATGCCTTCAAATTTCTCAGGCTTTATTCATATTAGTATCAAATATTCATATTAATGTGAATATCGGCAAGTCAACACTCCCCTCAACTAACCCCCCCCTCTCACACACACACACACACACACACACACACACACACAGTAATAATAGGGTCTTTGAGAGAATTCAGGGAACAATGGCTAAAAAGTCAGTCAAAAATTATTTTGATATCTCATTTATAACTCTTCTTCAGCTATACTTTAGGAGTTCTGATTTTTATAAAGCCAGATGAGTGTTCGATATCTATAAACAAATGACCCTTTTAAAAAGTACTTTTGAGCCCGGCTGGTGTGGCTCAGTGCTGAGCGTTGACCTATGAACCAGGAAGTCGCTGGTTTAATTCCTGATCAGGGCACATGCCCGGGTTGTGGGCTCCATCCCCACTAGGGGGCGTGCAGGAGGCATCTGATCAATGACTCTCTCATCATTGATGTGTCTCTCTCTCTTTCCCTTTACCTTCCTCTCTAAAATCAATCAATATACATAGTTGCGCGCGCGCGCACACACACACACACACACACACACACATATATATTTTAAGTACTTTTGAAAGTTACCACTCGTTCCCAGAACAGTTCATACCAGGTACTACACAAAGTGCTTTTCCTCTTTAACCTCCTCAACAACCCTTTGAATAGATGGTGTATTTCCAGATTACAGAGAAGCAAACCAGAACACATACAAATTAGCTAACTTGCTCAAGGCCACCCAACCAGTAAATGGCAGCCAGAAAGATGCCAAGAGCAGCCCCGCAATACTAAGATAATGAAAAGAAATACAATCACTTAGCAAGACTTACACCCATTACTCACTCATCGCCAAGGGTTGCCAACGTCGATTTGGCTTTTTCCAAAGATGAAAAAAAAAAAGAAGAAGTTGCCTTGTTCTGGTTTGTCCTTATCATTATGTGAACATATCAATCGATAGATAAACACATATATGGGTGTACAAAACGATAAACATACTTTGACTGACGTACGGAGACATTTCTGTTCTATTCTGTGCCCTTTCCTACTACGCTAAAATCTGCTCTTCTATCCCAGCTCCAAAGCAGCCAAGCATTTGACTCCCAGAAGGTTGAAGCCACTGACAAGATCTATAGAATTCCACGTGGGAAAAAAACTGGCCGCCAAACCCCTTCCGCAGACAAGAGACACATTGCTGTTTACGAAGCCCCGCTGCGGATCAGCTTTATTTATCGTTCCTATTTCAAGAAAGGTCATGTTCCTGCTGGACGCCACAACCCCTGAGCTGGACATTTTTCTTGCTTGTCCTCATGTCAGACTGTCCTATCTCAGCCAAGATTTATATAAGAAGAGAGCTCCTCCATTGGGGTTCAGGAAAGACAGTCAATGCATTATCCCTCATGGTTATTTCACAGTTGAGTAGACCTCCCTCAACGAATGACAGTCTATCCCAGAAGTGATGCATCCCCTGGGTCCATACGATGCCCATCTGCGATAACTAGGATTCAACACGGCAGATGTTAACACTTTACGGGAGCAGCACCAGACAAACGCCTTGCCCTTCGGAAACTTCATTTTGGCACGTCATTTCTTCTACTGGCAACCGAAGCAGAACCAGACAGGCACCAGCTTCCACTGAGGGGTATTTCTGAATAAGAGATTCAGGATTTGCCCGGCTGGTGTGGCTCAGGGGTTGCGCATCAACCTATGAACCAGGAGGTCATGGTTTCGATTCCCGCTCAGAGCACATGCCCAGGTTGTGGGGTCGATCCCCAGTGTGGGACGTGCAGGAGGCAGCCGATGCACGATTCTCTATCATCACTGATGCTTTTATCTCTCTTCCTCCCTCTCCCTTCCTCTCTGGATAAAAATTATAATTTTTAAAAAGAAACTCAGAACTTAATAGCATTTTATTCTAGGAAACAGTTAGCTGACACCTGCAGGGCCAGGCACCAGACCGGGGGGGGGGGGGGGGGGCGGGGAGCAAAAACCCACAAAGGAAAGCATTTTAAGAGGCATGGAGGATGGACTGCAAAGTTCTCATGGATCTTTAGTTCCCAGGCTAGTTAGCATAAGAAGGGGGTCTTTCCTTCCTAGTGTTAATAATCTCAGCAGCGTGGCTAAAGGGACCCCATTTTATATATTTCCCATCTTCCGTCTTTCCTCAACAGTTAAAATAGGGGGAGTTGAGGAATTAGAGAGGCAGCTGCACCTCCAGAACTAGCATCGCCCGCTGGAGCCAGAACCAGCCACCAGGCGGAGCCAGAGCCCAGCCAGAGCCCGGCCAGCCGAGACACCGGAAGGGCTCCAGGGGCATTGTGGGAAATGTAGTCCCGACAGCCCGGCCCCAGGTTTCTCCGCTCCTATCTCCCGGTCAGGGTCCCGGGAAGTCAGCTGACCCTGCTCCGAAGGTCTTGCGCCGAGCGGTGCTCCGAGCGGGCCTGGGTCTTAGGCGTTGGAGGTCCCGTGGGCGCCGAAGTGAAAGGGTCGGGGTAGGGCGGCGAGGTTGGGAGAGCGCGCACCCCCCCGCCCCCCGCGTGCGCGGCGCTGAGAAGAGCCGAGTGCGCATGCGCCCAGGCCAGGGACTCTCCAGTAAACTACCCCTTTGTGCTCTCAGCTGGGAACCCTTCGGTTTTCCAAAAAGCCGCTGAAGTTCCAAATTACCCTCTGCAAAAATCATGCCAACAAGAGGGAGGTGGGCCCTGGCCGGTTTGGCTCAGTGGATAGAGCGTTGGCCTGCGGACTGAAGGGTCCCGGGTTCGATTCCGGGCAAGGGCACATGCCCGGGTTGCAGGCTCCATCCCCTGGGTGGGGCGTGCAGAAGGCAGCTGATCCTTGATTCTCTCTCATCATTGATGTGTCTTTCTCTCTCTTCCTCTTACTCCCTCTCTAAAATATATATATATATATTTTTTTAAAGGAGGTGGACGGAGTTAGTGGAGCATGAAGTTGGCAGGGGTCCAAGAAGGCAAATCGAGTGGACTGAGAGCTTCCTGGAGGAGAAGCCAGGAAGGAAGACTTCCAGCCAATCGGGAAGCTTTCTCACGAAGCCTGGGGTGTAGCCCAGCTTCGGAGAGCATTTCAGAATTGTGGGTATCGAACTCTGTCCTTACCGTGCTTCCAGGGACTGTCATTGGCACACTGGCTCAGGAGTCTCCCTCCCCGACAGCTCCTTAACCAATCAGCTGGGAATGAAGACCCAGGCGTCTCTGGTGTCCTGGTGAGAGGGCTGGAGGGTCCAAGGATGAATATGATCCTGTCTGAGTTGCAGGCACCTGAACAGTTGAAAGAAAAAATTATTCATGACACTTGTTAAGGACAGCAGGACCCTTTTACTAAAGAGGGTAATGCAATGGGTTTTTTAAAGTATGTTTTTATTGCCCGGCCAGTGTGGCTCAGTGGTTGAGCATCGACCCATGAACCAGGAGGTCATGATTCAATTCCTGGTCAGGGCACATCGCGGGTTGCAGGCTCAATCCCCAGTAGGGGGCGTGCAGGAGGCAGTCAATCCATGATTCTCTCTCATCATTGATGTTTCTATCTCTCTCTCCCTCTCTCTTCTTCTCTAAAATCAATAAAAATATATTTTTAGCCTTAGCCAGGTTTGGCTCAGTGGATAGAGCATCAGCCTGTGGACTGAAGAGTCTCAGGTTCAAGTCCAGTCAAGGGCACATACCTAGGTTGCAGGCCCTGGTCAGGGTGCATGTGGGAGGCAACCAATGTGTCTCTCTCACATCGATGTTTCTCTCTCTGTCTTTCTGCCTTTCTTCCTCTCTCTCTAAAAATCGGTGGAGTCCTGACCGGTTTGGCTCAGTGGATAGAGCATCGGCCTGCGGACTGAAGGGTCCCAGGTTCGATTCCGGTCAAGAGCATGTACCTTGGTTGCAGGCACATCCCCAGTGGGGGGTGTGCAGGAGGCAGCTGATTGATGTTTCTCTCTCATCGATGTTTCTAACTCTCTATCCCTCTCCCTTCCTCTGTAAAAAATCAATAAAATATATATTAAAAATAAATAAATAAAAATCAGTGGAAAAATATCCTCGGGTGAAAATGAACAACAAAAAAAACCAAAATTTTTTTAATTTAATAAAAAAATAAAATAAAAGTCAGTGGGTCTATCAGTTAGAGAAAATAAAAATTGGCTCACTACCTCTCACGTGCCTGAATCTTCCAACAATCTGTAGATATATTGCTGCTATGTGCAGACAGCCAAAAATGAAGATTCACATGGACAGTGACTTCAGTTACAGGATTCTTGGGATGATTGTAAAAAAAAACACAAGAAACACTTATGGAGAGCTCATAGACTATCCCTTGTAACGGGTGCAATCATTTTATAAGAATTCTCTCATTTAGTTCTCACAGTAAACTCGTGGGCTAATCACTCATTACTACTGTATTATTATTTTCCAGATGAGGTAAAAGAGTGTGATTAACCAATGCCATCCCAATAAATTCAATTAAAAGAAAGATAGAAAGAAAAACATTGGGGCCATGTGGGGCTCAGCCCAGCAGGCCTGAGCTGTTTGGAATAAAAGACTATGGGGCCTTTGGTTCTTTTCAATCCGTCCTTACAGTCCACTTCTGAACTAGCCTCCTGCCTCTCTGGCTTTTGTTATGCTCTCTGGACTGGGTCTCACCCCTGCATTGCTGTAAACCACCCCCCACATGGTCACGCTGCTCCCTGGTGATGGGGGGATGGGTGCTTAGCACAGCCTGCTGAAGTGGAATGCCACTTCCATTCCTTCTACTTGGACACCCAAATGCTGACCAGCCAGGAGGTCTCGTGCAGCCCTGCAGACTGGAGTGTGTACACGAGTCTGTCTCAGTCAAGTCTCAGCCCGAGCCCCTTAGCACTTTGGGGGAAAAGAAGAATCAACGGAACCAAATAACCAGATAAATGGCCAGATGTGTATTCTCAGGGACTGTGAAAACAATATCAGTGCTCAGAAGAAGAAAAAAATACCGAGACAGGAAAATGGACTATGACAGAGCAAATTGTTTGAGAATAGTGGTTTGACTGGGATGGGGAAATATTTGCTTATTTCCCTTCAGATGCATACCCAGTAATTCCATTGACTCAATCTCATATAATCTTTATCATCAGGAGACACGATTTTAGTTTCTGATGGTGCATATGAAATTTCGTCACTATAAAACAAGATGATACAGCTCACGATGAGATGCTAGGACATGAACGTGACCAGGAGGCACACAGGAGGGGATGTGAAAGCAAATACACCCTCCACCCCACCCCGTGCCAGCAGCATAGCCTTGGCCAAATTACGAAATCTTCCCTGTTCCCTCCTGTTTGAGGAAATAAGATGATGAAATACTACCTAGTATAATAGCTACTAGCCCTGTGTGGCTATTTAAATTAATTCTGAAATTTAAAAACTACAGACTGAGCTCCTAAATTATTCTAGCTACATCTCAAGTGCTCAAGAGCCACACTGAGCTAGGAACCAATGCACTGGACAACACATGCATACAACCGCCACAGAACTTCCATCGGACGGTGCTGGTTTATAAAAAAAAAGATGGATTGAAGATAATTTAAACGGTGCTGGGAACAAAGTACTATTAAAACAAATAACAGGTTTATAGTCAGGATTCTGAGATTTTTGAGTCTGTGAAAAGCCTGGTAGATAAGCCTAGTATATATGCTCCAAGTCTTTTTCCTGTGAAACGCTTAGGGACTGTCAAAGAAATATCCGTTAACAAATACATTTAGCAGAGGGAAGAGTGAGACTTCGGAAGAACCGGCACCTCCAATACAAAACTCAATAAATACGTAAAGGAGGACGTCGGAAAGTACTTCATGAGCAAAAATGATTTCAAGCTTCACAACATTAATTAGCTTAATTCCTAAGATGGCTAACTTTTAATACTGTAAATGCTATGAATTTTAAATGTTTTCCTGTCATTGATTATACATATGTAATATCACAACAGAAGGAAATACAGCTGATCTTGTACACTGAACTTCTATCTGATGTCCTTGCTAAATGTGCTTATTAAATCTAATAGATTTATCAGTTATTCTCAATTTTTTTCTGTCTCCTAGTAATAACTCCTTTCCAATTCTAACATCTTTTTTTTTTTTTTTGCTTCGCCCTTTTTCACTGGCAAGGACTTGCAATAATAAATATAGACCATTTTGCCTTTCTATTTTTTTCAGAAAGCTTTCATTTAAAGAACTGTTCTTAATTACAGAATCACTTATGCAACAGATTGATATGTATGTTTATTTCTGATCCTGTCATTTTAGTAATAAATGTGTCTCTAGAAATATGACCATTTCATATAGATTTTCTAATTTAATAGGCTAATCTCATTCCTGAAATTGTTTCATTATTTTAATGTTTTATTAATGTAGTGATACTATTTTTAAAATATCTGATCTTGGTTATTTGCGCCTTATTCATATATTTTCCTAATAAAGCTCACCAGAAATTTATCAGTTTCAATAATCATTTCAACTAATAATCATCATCATCATAATTTCAAAGGATTTTATTTGATTCCGCCCCCTTACTTCATGTTTGTTTTTCTTTAATTAATTTCTTAACTTTATTATTGGTAAATCATTTTAAAATATAAATCTAGGATATAAAATTCCCTCCCAGAAATTTATTTTAGCAAACAACATCTAATAATATATAAAATGGTGATATAGCACAACAAATTTATTCTTGGGAAAATGAAATCTTTAAAAAAAAACAACAAAAAAACCTATCAGTGCAAACAATCACATTAAGAGGAAGCACGATAAGATCTCAAAACACTATTCAGAAAATTACATGATAAAATTCAGGATTATATTCATGATCAGTACCCTTACTTAGCAAAGGATTCTAAACCGTTTTTACTCAATGAATCAAATGCATCTGCAAAGATGACAAAGAGCTCACAGGTGGAGACTAAAAAGCACCGCTTCGAGCAGATGGCAGAGAACATTCTGTGAAAGGCTGTCCCACCACGAAGCAGCGCGAGCCTCGGGGAAAGAAAGGGGAGAAACAAAGGAGCCACCGCGACTTAAACCAGCAAAAGAAAATCAAAGCCGGGGGCACACGGGGGAGAGGGGCGTTGATGAAGCCAGCTGCGGGGCTGAAGGAGGTCTGCAGCTTATGCACAGCATGGGGGAGAGGCCGGTCAGAAATCCCAATAAAACCGCCCCCCGCCCCCCCCCCAAAGGCGGGCTCCGATCACAAGCGCTCCCTGCTCGTGCCCCGAGCCCCGTGCCCCGGAGATCAGAGCATCCCCAACGCCAGCCCGTAGGAACTCCCAGAAAACACAGACCACAACACATCTCGTCAACAAAGCAGAACGATTAAAGCTTCCATCAGCGACAAAAATAAATAAATAAAAGAATCAAATTAAAATTCAAAAGCCCCACATCGACATAATATGAACAGAAAATCCGTAACATTCACCTGTCAGATGTTTCAGAAACTACGAGGCGAACTTTTCAACATGGGGTGGGGTGGGGGGCCGGGAAACAAGGATTATGATTTTTATGATTTTTTAAAAAATAGACACATGCATATGCACGAGCAAATGCAGTGTGCCTGCGTGAACGGCGCGATAGAAAAAATCAAAACCTCAGCGGGTGGCGATTGCATCCTCCGGCCGAGCGCGTCCGCAGCGCTGCCGCTGCAGAGCCTGGGGGGGTGATGGGGGGGAGGGAACCCAGCTGCCCGGAACAAAGCCGGCGCGAAGCTTTGTTCCCACGCCGGGATTTTTTACACACCGCGCGGACTGGTTAGAAGACAGCCGGTGTCCCCACCGGAAGTGTCCGCCGCGCCGGCCGGAGGAAGCCGGAACCAACAGCAACCGGAAGTAGAGGGCTGGGCGGAAGGAAAAAAAAGCACACCTTCCCGTCTGGAGCTCCGGGACGGCTCCTTGGCCTCCGGGCTTCAAGCCCGCACGCAGGGGGCACCGGACACGTCTTGGCACCGTTTCAGGGGGCAAAAGGTGCAATGGAAGAGGCTGCAGCTCCCTCGGAGCCCCACGAAGCCGCCGGGGACGCAACAGATGCCCCGGCGGCCGAAGAGGCGGCCGCCGGGCCCAGCTACCGCACGCACCCGGTCTTCCGGCGTATGGAGCCTGGAGGCCCGCCCCCCATCGGCACGTCACGTCTGCGATTGGCCTACGCCTCTGTGGGCGGGGCCAGGCCCAGGGAAGGGCCGGGACCCAGCTGGCTGCAGAGCCAGCGGCGCCCAGGCCCTTGGACCAACCAAGTCGTCTGCAGGTATTTTCGCCATGGGATGTGCAAGGAGGGGGAGAACTGTCGCTACTCCCACGACCTCCCGGACCCGGAGGAGGCCGGGGAGGACCGCGGGTCGCCGCCGCCCCAGGCCCCCGAGGAGGAGCTAGGCCCCGGCGCGTTTGCGGCTGCGCACTATGAGCCAGAGAACCAGCCTCAGGAAGGGGCGTGGGCCCCGCCTCCTGACTCCTGGGGCGCCTTGCCTGCGATTTGCTGGGTCACTGACAGGGTCTCCTTGGAAGCCGAGACTGACGATTCAGCGCTCGGAGCTGTGGGGGGAGCAGGTGCGCACGGCTGGGCAGCAGATGCGCAACGCCGGGCAGGAGGTGCGCACGGCTGGGCAGCAG